GGCTGCGGGCGGCCGAGCCGCGCCGCCCCCGCCCCGCGGCTCCGCCCGGCCCCCGCCGCCGCAGTGACACTAATGAGCGAGTTCTTCCCACAGGTCTCCTGCCTGGAAGTGCTGACAGATCAAGGCAACAAATTTCAATTACAAGCCCTAATTTGTGTCCGCAGAGCGTTTGTTACCCATGTCAGCTCTGCCTGGCCCATCAGACGGGGCAGAACGTGGAGGAGGAGGAGGAGGAGGGGGAGAAAAGGAACGCATCTGCAGAAAGGAATAGAATTTTTTTTCCACTTAAAAAACCCCAAAACAATCCCCCCCCCCCCCCCAAAAAAAAAAAAAAAAAAAAAAAAAAAAAAAAAAAAAAACAACAAAAAAAACTTGGCTGATAACTCGGATTTAAAAAGAAAGGCGAGGAAAAGCCCCAGCCCCTTGCCTGCGCGGTCGGGAGCACGGGAGGGCGGCCGGCGCGGCGGGCCGGGCGCGGGTGCCGGTGCCGGCGGCCGCGGGGCGCCTGGATGCGCGGGCTGTAGGGCGGCGGGCATGGCCGACAAGCGACGGTCCTCGCCAGGCACCACCATGAGCCTCAAGGCTCACGCCTTCTCCGTGGAGGCTCTCATCGGGGCCGAGAAGCAGCAGCAGCAGCAGCAGCAGCAGCAGCCGCCGCCGCCGCGGCAGCCCAAGCGGAGGAAGCTGGGCGGCGAGGACGAGGCGGCGGAGGACGAAGGCGGCAGCGGCTGCTGCGCCAAGAGCTCTCCCGCCACCGCTGCCGGCAGGACCTGCGGCGACATGGACCTGGGCTGCGCCGCCCGCGCCCCCGCCGGTGAGTGCCGCCCGCGCCCCGCCGCTGCTCCCGGCCCCGCTCCTCGGCTGGGCTCGGGATCCCCATTCCCCGCCGCCACAGGCGCTTTGATTCCCCGTTATCCCTGCTGTCTTTCCACGCTGCGTGGGCACCCACCACCCTTCCCGCTGGCCTGGCGGTGAGGATCCGCGGCGCCCCTCGGACGCTGGCACGGGGCAGGGCGGCTGCCGGCGGGGCTGTCGGTGCCGCGGCGCGGTGGAGCGACGGCGGGGGGCTGTCCCGAGCCCTGTTCCCGAGGAAAGGCAAAAGCACTTATATGACATACGTGTATGTGTGCTGCTGAAAGTGCATATGCAACTACGTATATAATCCTGTGTACATATATATATATAATATATATATATATATATATACATAGACACACACACACAACACCTACATATGTATGTATGTGTGTAATTTGCTGTGTGTGGAGGGGAGGGCAGTTTCACGCTCCAGGGCAGAAGCCCGTGGTCAAACGAAATGCGCCGCCGTCCTCGCAGCCCGGACGGGCTGCCGCCCGCCTCGGCCCGGGCACGGCGCGGCGATGGGGGCAGCCCGTCCCCGGCAGCCCGGCCGTGCTGCCGCTATCCCGGAGCTCGGGTTGCCCGCTCCCCGGAGCCAAGGCTGCGGCCCGGGCCGGGCCGGGGCTGGCCATCGCTGCCCCGCCGCTATCGCTCCCTCCGCTCTCTCCGCAGGCGGCTGCGAGGAGGGCTTCCTGGCGGGCTCCCCGCCCGCCTCCCCCGGCGGATCCCCCAAGGGCTCGCGGCCCGGCTCGCCGCTGCCCACGCCGCAGGCGCCGCGGGTGGATCTGCAGGGAGCCGAGCTCTGGAAGCGCTTCCACGAGATCGGCACCGAGATGATCATCACCAAGGCGGGAAGGTAACGGGCACGGCGGGGCCGCCACCCGCGCGCTCCCGGGGCGGGCGGGCACATCAAAGCGGGACAAAAGCGGGGGAACCCTCCAGATTTACGAGGCAGGTAGATGGCGATAATGTTAGATGGGCATGGGAGCATGTGGCGTTTCGGGTTTCCTGTTCATTAGGGCGAGGTCTGGGAGCGCCGTGCCCTTCTGGGGGAAAGCTTTTCCCCTTTCCAGGGGATACACATGGTAAAAACCTGGGAAGTAGAAAAGTATTTGAACTTATTAGAAATTACAAAAACATATTTTATTGAATCCATATGCTACCGTCTGCATTTTCAGAGAGGCTTTATTAATGATTGAAACGCAGTCTTAAACAGCACAAAGCTGCATTTGTCTTAAGAGAGTCTAGTCGGGGAATTTCTGTTTTATCTTACAGGTGCACTGAAATAACAGCAAAAACTAGTTAGCCATAGTCAGGTTTTTACCCTCCTGCTTATTCAGAAATGGCGGAGATAGGATTTTTGTTTCCAGTAACTACTTTTAACAGATTGGTTTTTAATATATATCTTTTTTAGCACAGCAGCAAATACTGAGTAAACTGGAATAACTTTCAGGTTTATAAAATGCAGAAGAGTATTTTATTAGCTTGCAGGTAGAACTTTTTTTTTTTTTTTTTTTTTTTTTTTTTTTTTTTTTTTTTTTTTTTTTTTTAATTTTTGTGCTTCAAGAATGAAGTTTTCTGATAAAAAGCATGCCAAGCTAAGAGCTAAGGGCAGTTTTATGTTCAGACCACCTCATTGGTTAATTAATCCAGTTTTCCACAGAAGGATCTAAATCTTGAACGTTTGGTTTTTCGTAGTTTCTGTTTTATTTTTTTTTTCCAGAAATTTGCTCGTAGATTCGTTTCTGCTTTCAATAAAGAAGTTTTACTATACCTTTCAAAGACAGAGTAGCTCTCGCACTTCACCTTTAGTAAGTTGCAGACAGGAAGTCCCGTGTCAATAAAGACCATATTGTTGGGTTAGAGCATGGCACATTGGCTTTTATAACTGCATCCTTGCGGTGTTATAATTGTATCACAGTAGATTCAGCTTTCTAATTCGCTGCTGCAGCAATGATACACCATTTTTCTGCTGTCACTTGAAACTTTAGTGAGAATTTGCCTTTCTGTAAGTCTTGGACTTCCTGGGTGGAGGTGGTGTTTGCACATCTCCAGGAATACATTTCTTACTAATATCTCAAATGGGTTTTAAATGTGTGTACTGCTAAAGTAAAGTCTCAAACCCAAATGATTTACTGTCTAACAATAAAGTTGAAATGATGTGGTAATAGCTGTACTCCCAAAGCGGATCCCCAAACATACAAAGCATTGTTCGAGTAAATGCACTTTAGAAATCTGTTTTGACATATCGAATGGGCCATTTCATGGCTATGTAACTATAATCGTCCAAAAGGACTCTGTAGGCTAAAAGGAAGAACGAGAAAAATCCCACGAAGCGGTTACTTTTCCTAAACAACCATTCCCGAGTCTGTTTCGTATTAAAAATGACCTCTCTCTTTCCAATGCTCAGGCGGATGTTTCCTGCAATGAGAGTGAAGATCTCAGGTTTAGACCCACATCAGCAGTATTACATTGCTATGGATATTGTGCCAGTGGATAACAAAAGATACAGGTATGGTGACTTTAAGGCAAAAAACATATGATGTAAGCTATAGGGTGCTTGGCTGTTGGAAGGAAATATTAACACAACATAAATTAGCAGAAGATCATGTTTAACTCTCCTTGAAGGTCCTTATTTTCATCCCAGTGTATTTTAGAAGACCATACTGTACCAAGTATGCAGAGGCAACTAAAATTTGTGTTGAAGCTCTTTAGGATACATTTGCCTCACACTGTGTATGTGCTGCGGGCAGATGCTCAGGTCTGGCTTTCAGAGTGCAGTTCTAGTGCGGTCAGGAAATGTTATCATATTTTATTCCTCCTCCTGTCAGTAGGAATTATTTCCTATTAATAAATAAATATGAAAATGTACATTTTTTAGGGCCAAATGGTATTAATATTAATTGATAACATTAATAGCACAGATATCTGATTTAAATACTTACAAGCTATGTAATGTGACTTAATAAGTAAGTCACCTTTCAAATTGCTTATAGAATTTAATTTTAAAACTGTTTATCACTGAGATATTTGGTTGCTTAAACTAAAATAAGATAATGTTTCTTATTACTGTTATTTAAAGAATGAATGGCATTATTGTCTGGAGAATCATATGAGGAGAAAAAGAGGTGGTTCTTTGAACATTTAGGAATAGAAATTTTGTGCTGAATCTCTCACTGTTTCGAGGGTGATTGTGTTCTGAGGGTGGTTGTGTTTTGAGGGAGCTGGCTGGGCTCTGCAGAAGCCACTTGTCCTGTAGAAATGTTTGCAAGATTGGGCCCGCAGCAGTTCCTGTTGTGAGTTGAAGACGTTTCCAAGGTCTTGCTTTACAGATGCAATCCCATGCTCCAGAGCAGCCAGGGGGGAAGCCTGGCCAGAGAAGCTGAGAGGAGACAGGATCAGGTCTTTACCAATTGCGGGTTTGATTGTTTTAATCTATACTTAGTATAATGTAGGGAAAACCGCTGCAGATTTAATTCTAGAACTAGGAATATTTCAGACCATGATTAAAAGGTTGGTTCTGCAGGAATGCTGCCTTGTTTCCTAAGCAAATGCTGTCCTGTGTTTTTCCTGTACTTACCTCATTGACTGCTATTTTGTCATTTTCTTGTGTGGTGTATAAGACCTTTCCTAGGACCATTTTTGATTTTGAGTTTTTCAACAAGGGGCACCGATAGCAGGGCTGACGATGCTCAGCATATACAGTCAGGGGAGTATTTCCTGTATCTACCACAGAGGAAAAAAAAAGCTTGTTTTTCCTTGTACCAGTGCAGTGCAGTTCAAATGGAAGTTTTTTTTTTTTTTTTTTTTTTGTTCCATGTTGCATGTGTGCATTTACTTAACAATCTCAACATATAATTCCTAGAAGGTTTGAACAATTCATAAATTCATAGAAAAACCGGGGCAATAATTCCAAATTAATTAAAATGTTAATCCTAAAAATTAAAAGCGGTTATACTGAGTATGAATTGTTTAAACCTCATTTCATTTAAAATAATTACAGTCATACTGACCTGCACTGTCTTCACGCTGTGCTACATGGTGCCCTTCAGACAACTGAAGTGACTTAATGAGAGTGGTAGGAAGGGTGGTATTTTCTTAGTTGGCAATCTAGAATTTTTTTGTATTCATGTATTAGTGACTATGCCTTTAAGCTTTCCACTAAATGTTAATGTTTTACATGTTTTACTTGGTGCCTCTTCTCAATCTGTTCTGTGCTTTTTATTGCTGTCTGTTATTTCAACTCTGGCTGTTTGTGCAGCTTCACACACTGTCTTGCAGATCTTTAAATTTCGTGGAAATGACAGCAGTCACATGGAACCTAGTCTTTAGCTGACAGAGCAGATAGCAAAACTAATGGAAGTGAAGAAAATTACGTATAGGTCTGGATTTCTAGCAAAATTTGACCTTATAAATATTTGGAAGCTTAAACTGTAGCTCAAAAAGTGTATTTATCACTGTATTTATATTTATTTGCATTTATGACTCTATTTACTTTTCTAGGAAAAGCATATATTTAGTATAAACCAAGAAATATAAAATAAATGAAAAATGTCACAACAGTGATCTGGGGTGGAGAATTTGTCTCCAGGAGAGAATTTCACCACCATTCTAGATCTTAGCTATGCAGCTTGATCTGAATTGTATGGAGCGATACCTGCATTGGATCATTTTGTTTTCTGTTCTGTGTTGCTTGTCTTTTTCTAATAAGGAACTAAATTGTGCAAAGATATGATTTGATGAAGTCTTTCTTGCTTTCAGTTAAAAATACAGCTAAATTACTGGATTTTTGCTGTACTTGAAAAATATGACTTTCAATTAATGCTTTTTAAACTGCTTTGTGAATTGCCTGCCTTCAAAATAGGTTTTTAACCAAAGCAGGCATAATTTTTGTTATAAAATCATCTTGTCAGCATTGGCATATCAAATGAAATACATACTCCATGTTTTCATTTTTTAACCTTTTTGCAATACTGTTCAAGCCTATTAATATGGTCTACCGAAATATCAAGAGCATAGTTTCACATACTTTCATTGTTTTTCTCAATCATAATGTTCTTTCCCTTCAATAGCTTTATTTATAGTCTTAGACTCAACATGATAAATCTTCCAAATATGGAATTACTACTCAATTTGATAAAAGAAGGACCAGATT